GTTTTATTAAGAGGAAACGTCTGCGTCAGACATTTTCTCGTTATTAATCGCGTTATCAGCGAGAAAACCGCTAATAACAAACGAGAAGTACGTTTATGATAAGCATCGAGGAATCGAAGCTTAAGCACCGAATTTCCTGCACTGCATCGAGTCTGATCGTTCGATAAAACGAACAAAGTGTGGTGAATCACTGGGGTGCGATCGAACTTTCTGCTCCAGATCGGATCAAATTAAACGAGTCGCAATCTCCGAGATGCTCTGGTCTGATCGCAAGACGTGGATATACATAAATGACTCGGAATTCTCCGATGAGTCAGAACGGACCAAATGGACCACGATGGTAGGAAAATTGCCAGTTTTGCAACTAAATGAGAAAAAGAAAGGTTTCCTGAATTAGTCTGCCATTTGTTGGAAACGTGGGTGGATTTCTTAATGATATTAAGAATACTAATGGTGTAATTAGCAAGAATGATTAGAATGCTAAATTTTGTTGAAAATGGTGGTAAAAAGAATGTGATTTAAAAAATGGTGAAAATGGTACAAAAAGTGGGTGATGGTAAAAGTGACTGTAGGAATACAAAACGATAAAGATGATATAAAGAGTGGCACAACATGATGATATAAATAGGACAATAATAGAACTGATAAAAATAGCAAATAGTAAAAATCATAAAAATAAATAATAGCACAATATGATGATATAAATGGTACAGTAATAAAACTGATAAAAATAGCAAATAGTAAAAATCGTAAAAATAAATAATAGCACAATATGATGATATAAATGGTACAGTAATAAAACTGATAAAAATATCAAATAATAAAAATCATAAAAATGAATAATAACACAACATGATGATATAAGTAGTACAATAATAAAACTGACAAAAATAGCAAATAGTAAAAATCATAAAAATAAATAATAACACAACATGATGATATAAGTAGTACAATAATAAAACTGACAAAAATAGCAAATAGTAAAAATCATAAAAATAAATAATAACACAACATGATGATACAAATAGTACAATAATAAAACCTATAAAAACACCAAACACTAAAAGTCATAAAAATAAATAATAACACTACGTGATGACTTAAATAGCACAATAATAAAACCTATAAAAACACCAAACACTAAAAGTCATAAAAATAAATAATAACACAACGTGATGACTTAAATAGCACAATAATAAAACCTATAAAAGCACCAAACACTAAAAGTCATAAAAATAAATAATAACACTGATGACTTAAATAGCACAATAATAAAACCTATAAAAACACCAAACACTAAAAATCATAAAAATAACCATCAACAACAAAAATCACAAGAAACACCAAATTTTCAACATTTCCCAATAAAATCTTCCCACTCAAATTTTCCCAAATACTCAACCCCTAAATTACATAAAATCCCATAAATTAAAAGACGTTCAAAAATTTGCTAAAAGTCTGAACATTGACGAAAACATATAACTTGCAAGTTTTTCCTATTATCTTATTTTGTAGATCAAAGTAAAAGGCTGTTACGAAGTTACGATAGAAACTGTTCTATAAACGTTACAATGAAATTACATGTAACTGATATTGGTCAATTTTCCATGGACGCGAGTGCAGCATCGAGATAAGTTTTGTACCGTGCTAGAAAATCTTGACTCGAATGTAACATTTCTCTCGTTGATCGAATGAGTTTCGCTTCATCGAGCGTGCAATTTTCTACGATCGCATTTTGGATTCCATCGTATTTCCCGTCCCATCGTGCCGAGCAATTCCCATGTAAATTATCTTTCGTGCCGGTTCACCCATCTTCCATGTTCTGGATTCCTATTTCAGCTATATTTTTGCAAAATCTTTACGGGATTATGTTATCCTCTTGCAACAAGAATTTCTGTGAAGCAACAGTTTTGCATGTTTTTACGGGTTTTGGCGGGTGAGAGCTCGAAAATGAGATATTTAGTGAAAAGATGATATTTTTGATAGGAAAAAGAGGGGTGGAGGAGGCAAATATTTGAAAAGAGTCAACAAACTGAGTGGGTGGAGGAAATTAGTATGAAATTGAAAATGGGCCACCGAACCGACTATGCGGAGCGTAATCTTATAAAATATAGAGTTGGGTACAGATTAGTGTTGGTACTAATTTTTTATTTGGGAATGCAATAATTTTGAGATCACAAGAATTTATAAATACCGAATTATCAAATTTCGCAGCTCCACAAAAATTAAAAAAAAATTAAATTAAATTTGCAACGATGGAAAATTCTAAATTTCCAAGACCGTAACTCCAAAAATACAGAAATTATAGAAATTATAGAAATTAGACTAAATACAGAAATTGCCATTTTTCCAACTTCTCAACCTCTTAATTAAAAAATTAAACTGAAATTAAAAATATTAAACTAAATTTGCAAAGTTGCAAAATTCCAAATTTCCAAGATCGTAACTCCATGAATACAGAAATTGCAATTTTTCCAATTTCTCAACCTCTTAATTAAGAAATTAAACTAAAATTAAAAAAATTAAACTAAATTTGCAAAGTTGCAAAATTTTTAATTTCCACGATCGTAACTCCATGAATACAGAAATTGCAATTTTTCCAATTTCTCAACCTCTTAATTAAAAAATTAAACTAAATTTGCAAAGTTGCAAAATTTTTAATTTCCAAGATCGTAACTCCATGAATACAGAAATTGCCATTTTTCCAATTTCTCAACCTCTTAATTTCACAAGAGTAATAATATATTACAGGATAATATAGATAAGCGAGGATCGTTTCCATTAAACGATTCTTGGTAGATCAATTACGAAAATAGGTCCATCGCGCTAATTCCCGTTTTTCTTTATCGCGATTCAAAGTTCGGGTAGAAAGGGAGAAATTGTCCCAAGGCAAAGAAGATAAGGCGAAACGGGGCTTTCGTGACCGTGAGAATGATATGGTTAACGAACCTATGGAGAAATCCATGGGATAATGAAACGAAGCCATGGAAAATGCTCCCTCGGGATAAGACGTGGAAACTGTGCACTCAGGGTTATTCTATTATTTTATCTACACGTATTAGGATTCCACAAACTTCGAACTAGATATTCCATTTTAAGAAATTCTATTTTACGTGAAACATTTACGGGACGTTATGCTAATATTAAGATGATATACGGCAGGGATTCGTGAGCAATAAGAGATAAAATTGGACGGAAATTTCTAGATAATACTACTTTATTCATAGTGATATCTCTTGCAATTTAGGTGGGATGCGTTTTGAATGTGGAATGATGTTGAATAGTAAAGTAGATTTTAGAAAAATTATTTTATAAAATTGATCAAAATTTTTTGTATAATTTAAAATCTTGAAGTAAAAAGAATTTTTACAGGGAACATATGTAAGGAATATTTTCAGTTGCAAAATTTGAAGTACAGGCTGCTTCATTTTTAGTGTCGATGCATTCTATAAACAGAAATACATAATATGAAATATAAAATATAAATATAAGGTGTAAATATTACATTATAAAATTACAATAAAAATATCAAAATAATATATGACTGAATTCTTGTCCGATCGAATTTCACTCTGCATTCATATTTTTCAGGACCCATTAAAAAGAAACACGAAAACAATAATAACGTTATCTCACAATAATGTTATGTTTGCTACAATTTTTTAATGCACAATGTAATGTACCAAATGCCTTTTAAGCACTTCCTTGCATTTACACAACATATCTCATAAAATCTGTAACATAACATAGCCGAGTATATCGTACGGCCACGGGCAGCGATAACTGCTCTCGAAACTGGCAATGAATTCCATGCCGTCAGAAATTAATAGGAAATTCAGGGGAATCGAAGCGCGTAACGATAAGCAGGTAAGGGTCGATTTCCTTGACGCGAAACGTTCCAGACCAAAAAGGGAGAATAATGGAAGGGTCAGGAGTTTTCACGATTTCTCAGCCCGTTGCCCGTTGCAGAGGGTTTCAGAGCGTTCGGTTTCCTTGGCGACGGAAGGGAACGCAAAACCGAACCGCCACCCTGCCTTCCTCCTCTTGAACACTGGCTGTTTGTATTTCATATTGATAGAGTATTGATACAGCTCTCCTGTAACCCCTCCGGTTCGACAAACTCGTCCCACACCATGGAACCACCGTGACGGTCCGACACTAACACCCGTGCCAGGAGTCCCGGGAACGTAAACGAGCGTGCCGTGAGTTACCATTTCACCCTGGTCACGTGTTTACTTTGTTCCGCATTGTTGCACCTCACTAATGGCCGGTGCAAGCATTTTCCAAGACCCTATAGGGGATACGTGCTATGTTATGCGCTACCGACTCCTGAAAGCCAGTTATAAGCTCCGAGTGGACCTCTGCGAAGTAATACGAGAAAAGGATATAGGAGAAGGAAAATGTGGACAATTGTGTTCCTGGAAGCGGCACCAAGGACTGGACTGTGAAAAGTTTACAGCTTGTGGTCGGAATAGAAATGTGGACACTTAGTCTCATACGTAATTTCAGCGGTAAGAATTACTGACTTGAGTGATCACATCACATTGAATCATAGAATTGAACTAACCCTAGTTGACTAATATTGAACCAAACAGTTGGCTAATATTTCGAATGATCACGAATGATTACATTGGGTGTGTTCAAGATTGGATAGGTGTGTCTCTTGAACCTATGTCAGCCTCCTACCAGAGACAGGTTTGCCTACAGTATCTGATATACAGATACTATATGTAGAATGAAATGGTACAGTCCTAATATTTGATGTCAAAGGACACTTCACCATAAAGCGCTCCAGATACTTCCAATAGTAATTGCAAACTGATAATAGGCAAAGGTAATAGCCTATGTAATAGCAATGATGATAGACAATATACTGATAGACACTGGTAATGGTAATACGATAACAGACAGATATATGATAACAATGTCAGTAACAAAGAACAGTAATGACAGATAGTTTGCAAGTCGTTAAACATGTTAGATGTTTAGTTATTACTTACCGGGTGCCCAGCAAGACTCTGCCAGGAGAATTCAAGATCCGCAATGTTTGGAGGAACAGGAACCACAAAGTTCATGGCGTACGTGTTGACCACCCCTTCTCTGACGTAGTACAACTCAGCTTTGAGTCCTGAAAGCAGAATACGTAGCGATGTATATCGATTTGTCCGATTAATTATGAAACAATAGTTGGTCGACGACACGAACGACCTGACAGTACTAACTTTCCCTTCTGTCATGTGTCATCCTTCCCTTACATCAATTCTGGTTTAGGTACAGCTGTTGTACTTGTACAATTGCTATTCCTATTACTTACTATTTTTCTGAAATTATTTTTTTACTGTTATTTTTATTATTTTTTGTAATATTGCTATTAGTATTTTTTATTGTTGGTATTTGTCTTATTAATTACTTTTTACTATTACTGTTTGTATTATTTATTATTTTTCTGCTATTATTGGTTCTGTTACTTCATTTCTTTACTATTATTTATTTAATTATATAATGTACTTATTATATTATTATTGCAGTATAAATTATGTTCATTTTAAATGTTAATGAAACAATACTTCAAGCTAATAATTTTTTGCTGATATAATATTTTATGTAGTATAATTATAATCGTTTAGATAAAGACTGTCCCTCTGAATTCTCACCAGATTCTGTCTAGAATCTTTTCAATTTCCTCACTGAATTTTTCTTGTTAGACTTTCCCAGGCTCTCCCTAGTCTAACAAAAGAGTGTTTCAGAACGCAACACCAAGTGTCTTAATTGAAAAGAAGTATCATTTAATAAAACCATTATAAACTTCATAATAGTTGTACAACTTTGAATCACATAATGGTCCCCCAACTTTGAATAACTTCATGGTCCTCCAACTTTGAATCGCAAGAGCCAATTTTGAAACAAACAGTAGTCCGTCACTTCAGTGTAACCTAACGAGAGCAATTATCTTCTCTCCATTGAAGAAAACAAGGGAGGATCATTTCAGTTACCCGAGAAACCGAAGAAAATCATAATAATTTAACCGGCGACACGGCGAAGCTAATTGTAACCCGATACAACGGCGCATAATTACGCGACAGGAGTAAATTCGTACCTTCCTCGCCTCAATTTTCGCTCCTCGAACAGAGTAATTATCCCGAACACGGCATACCGAGTTTCATTTTAATCTGTGTTTCATTCGCTCCTTAATCCGGGGCTAGGATCGTTGGGTGCCAAGGATTCCACGGGAATCGACCCACTAACAATCTGCTTCCCGTTGGAAACTTATCCGACGATTATTGTCGCTACGTTTGTCACACGATAAGATCCCGCCGGCTATATACTGCGAAATAACCGTGGATATTTCACGGACGGATTTTGTAACACGAATCCACAGGAGATGTTCGCATCTCATCCTTTTCCCTTCTTCCTTCCGCCATTCTTGTCTTCCCGATCACGATCTACGAATTCCTTTGGTAGACCCGGCTCTACCGTCTCGTTCAACGGTAAATCTCATAGACAAGCCGGGTACAAGAAGACCCGAATTGCCTACGGCGATCGGTGCATCATCTGTCTGGCTTCACGTATGACTACGCGATTCAATATCCTGCTCGTGACAACCTTCAGTCGATATACGCCATGATACTTAAACTATGGTACTGAAATTAGACTTGCGTTTTGTATGTCAAGAACAGAGATTCATTATATTTTTATTTAATTTTACGATTAATATACCAATTTCTATAAATATCCTTCGGTCAATAAAATAATTATGCACAACGTAACTGAAGAGATTCCACTCGAACTACCAAATAACTTAGTTCAATTTATAACACGAAGTTCAATATTAGCTCAACGTTTTCGGGTTATATATTCGGTGAAATATTTGAGCGCCAAGTTAAGGCGCCAGGAGTAAGAAGATTAGCTAACTTTTTACTCACTGCCCAAGCTTTTACGAAGGAAAGATCAACATCAAGAACAGAAACTGATAATGACAGTTTGTGGAGTATTAATAGGAACAAGTTGCTGGAATCAATCTATATTCCGTTCCATTACGATGCATTCGGTTAGCGAAACAAAAGCACCAGACGACTGCTCGAGTACTGTGCCGACGCGGTGATTGATTTGCACTACTGAATTTTTGTTCTACTGATTCCTGTTATTTGTTGGCGCTGTTTGGTTGAATTAAACGAAAGTTTGGGAAGTTTCTCGTTTTGGGAATTTGCAAATTTTTTGGGCTGTATAGTTACAAATTTTTTAATTCATAAATTTGCATATTTTTTTAGGGTGTGTAAGGTCAAGGCTGTATAAGGTCAAATGTGGTGTTTGAATCAAATGAAACTTGCAAGACTATATTAAACTTGCATAATTGAATATTATCATTCGATAGAATATTTAAAAATAATGTTTTGTACCAAATTTCAACACCTATGGGGTGGTTAGAAGCTGCAATCAATATTCCAATTTTTCCAATTTTATTTTTCGTACTTAATGATGTCTAAAAATTCTGAAAAAATTCTAAAACATTGACACTACAGTGGCACACATTACAGAATTTTTTCAGATTTTTCCATCGAAAGTTGTGAAAAATAAAAATTTGAAAAGTATGCAATGTTTTACTGAAGGACTGCTTATATATTACTGTGATAATAATATATTAATATTATTTCTATACAAACTAATAAATTAAAGATATTAGTTATTGTGATAACAGAGGTTTAGTAACATTTTACATCTATTATAAAATTGCTGAAAAATAAAATGATGCACCAACTACTAAAATATGCAAAACGCTCAAAAAGAGGAAATAAAGAGTGCTGTTAGTGAAAATATAGAATCAGTACAATTACACTGTGGTAATAAAATAATAAAATTATATCTGTACAAAATAATAACTTTAAAAACCCAAAACTAATGACAGAAGTTTACATTCTAAGCCAATTTTAGAATTATTAAAAAATAAAATAGTCAACCACCAAGTGAAATATTCAAAGCACTCGAAAAGAGGAAATAATAAGAGTGCTGTAAGCGACATCCACAAGACAAATTCGGTTCGAACGGTTATCCATAATCTCTGTAACAGTAATGCAAGCGAGCGTTTCATAACAGCCAGATGCTTTGATTGTGTCCATTTGTTGGCCTCTCGCAACCCTCGTCGCCATCGTGGAACTTAATCCACCTGAGTTAGCTGCACGTGTTCCTCGAGGGATAACCCAAGATTTATCTTCCTGAAATATTTTCCCGTGGGGTGTTACCAACACACGATCGTATTCCAGGGAATTGGTAGAGTGCAGCCAACTTTACACTTACACTTTTTACACCCCCCTATGCTAGCCGTTTTTGCATACGCACGCAGAGAGACCCAACCCCGTTTCTTGATTCTACGTGTGCAGCATTCCAGCAGGTACTTCCGGATAGCTAGGGCTGATAAACTGACGTGTAAATATGTCGACGATTTTGCATCGGGCATGTCTACAGGCGAGGTTAGTCTTGTAGCCGTAAAATTCGCCCCGGGGCTAAATGAAATTATAAAAGGTGGCCATTTCGCGTGCAGTTTCGTGCTTGAACGGAGATAAACTTTTTATGGGGTGTCATTCTTTCCATTGGTAATTTAAGGTTTTTAAGACTATGGATTTGCAGAAAGAATTATTTCTGCGTTCCCAAATGATTAAATATATAAGTCAACAAATTTTTATACTTCTAGAGAAAGAAGAAAATGAAGAAGTAAAAAATATACGATTATATTCTAGATCATAAGACGATCGTTCAACTGAAGAATTAGTTAAGTGGTTAAGAGTTCTGTCTCGTAATTTTTTTTCTTTCATAATAATTTAAATAATTTCTTTTTGTAATAATTTAATTTTGTCATAATACAACAGACTCTTCATCTTTGACCGATTCAATCGCAGCGTCTTTCTTCTCTTTTCGTTATTCGCTATTCAAATCCTACCATCAATTAAACCAGTAAACGTAGTCGAAATTATACCGTGTTTGGTCTCATTTTAATCGGAAAAATGTCAAGAATTAATTGGTAAAAGTTTGACAACGAAAAAGTCAAAAATAAAAAAGTTTTATATTTGCATTGGTAGAGTCTCACGGATACGCTGGAACCGCGGATCAGGTTACATCTCGGCGCTCGAGCTTCACGGTGTCGCGAGGGGGCTCCCCCCCCACTGGTCCTTTTTTCGCGCGTATCGCGGGGGCCACGAATCGCGAACTAG